GTTATAAATATATATATGCCTGTATATGTGTATATGAATAGACCCTTCACACACATATGTGTATATATATATATATATATATATATATATATATATATATATATTATTAAATAATTTAGACATGTTTTGTCTTTTAATATGTTCTTTTTGTAATTACAGATAGTTTTCCCATTATCCTTATTAAAAAAAAGAAAGATGCATGTTGATGCCTATTCCCTTTTTAGACTGCCGCGGTTAATATCCTATCGCATATCCTCAACTTAGGGTCATGATCGTATGTGGATATGAATACTGCTTTGATCGTACTCGCCTTGTAGAATGACCGTCTATGTTTCTATTGTATATGTGCAGATGATATTTGGGGACCATCTGAAAAGTCATAAGACGGGGTCCATACTGGGTAACGGGAGGCGCAGTCGGGTACACCATTAAGATTTCTACGGAGATTTTTAATGCTGAATTTGTACATTACTCCGCGTTCCTTGAAATTAAAGAGAGGAATGTTCTTTATGCCCTGAAGGGCCCAATCTGAGAAAATCTTTATGACTGGTTGATGGTCACCAGTCACAAGCAAACCTGGGCATTCCAATAAAAACATCGGACATGATTCTGGCCCAGAGACAAGAGCCAGGGATTCATCTTCGACTGCCGCATATGGGGAAATGCAGCTAAAATAATTTTCCTATAGGCATCACCACAATTTGGGTTCACTTCGCCAGGGTTTTTTGAATAACTAAGTGATTCCAGTTTTACAGTAATCTGTTGAAATGTATGTAGTTTTATTGGTTGTGAACGTCTTGACTACGTCCTCAATTTTCAGCACGGTTACTCGCTTATTTTTTCAAGCTTTTCGTCTTAATAAAATTTTCGGTTCTTCGCGGTAAATTTGCTTGCGAGAATACATGATACCTGATTCTCCAGTCCAAACCTGGGCCTGACTTCAGTTGTATTTGTGAGTTTAGGAAAGTGAAGGATGACCTCAGTCAATATTCTTCGCTGGTTTCACTTCACCGATCGTTATTTAGAACCCGGAAAACTCCACCTCATTCCCTGCAAAATAGAATTTGTCAGTATTTACATTGCTCGGATTATCATCCTCATCTTTGCTGCCATATTTATCACAACGTTTCGGCCCTTGTATGCTCCGGCCTTCTTCAGGTGGTTGGAATGTGGAACTGTACCCTTTATTTCGCTCGCTGGGGTAGACTGTTCTAGTTCCATGTGTCATGTTCAATGGATGTCAGTTGTCAGTTATCTCCTGTTAATTACCCTCTTTAAATTCTCCACCACCTTAACCAGGTATTGAACTCAGACTTTTTGGCTCCTGTCACTGGATCTAACTAACGCCTTTATCCACTGAGTCCTTTAGGACATCTGTGTACGTATTTCTGGGTTTGATAAACCTAATATCTTCAGCAACAATTTTTACCAATTTTCGTTAGTATTGCTTTTCCCTAGCACTCCATATTACTGGTTCCCGTATTGTATTCATTTCTATGCTGGATCGGCTCAGAAATCTTTTTGGTCTAGCATATATGCTGATTCCTTAAGTTTATGAATTTTGAGTTTGTCTATGATTTCAACCTGATCTCACAGAGAGCGGTGATTTCACTTTTCTCTCTATATGTGGTCAGCTACGCCTGATTTTTCCACATCCCCTCGTGTTACAGTTTTTTTTTTTTGGTGTTCTTGAAGCCTTAAGAGGGCAGCCTGTCTCCCTTTTATATTTCTTTCCGCAGCTGCACGGTATGGAGTACACAGAGTCTTTAGTCATTTTATTCTCTATGGGGGTCTTACTCGGGAGAAGTATCTGCGAAATGTCGTCCAGCTTTTGAAGGCTGTCCTGATGTTATATGGACCGCAGATACTTTGTATTTTCTCCGATAACCCCTCCATATAAAACAGGCAGGCTGTTTTCTGGGTGTTGTCCTTCTCTTGTACCCGCCTATCCCAGTTTGTTGGGGCTACTTCCATATACACAGTGTAGTTGTTACGCTGTAGGGTATTGCTTATATTGACCAGTACTTTATCTAATGTCTCTGGGTCGCCACTTATGACTTTTGCTCGGTGTTGGAAGCAATGGATGATCCCTTCCTTTACACTGTATGGATAATGGGAGTTGTAATAAATTTGGCAACAAAGATGAGGATGATAGTGCGAGCAATATAAATAGTGTTCATAATACCTCATTTAGACAGATACAGAATTTGTCAGCGTTAAACACATTCCCATTCTTCCCACAGTAGGTTATATATTCCAATGTGTGCCAGAACATAGACTGTAATATCGTTCCAAAGGAGGCTATCGTCTATGCAACTGATTTCAGAATCATGTCCACTGTAAAATCATCGAACCGATAGGTATATCCCTCTCCAGATTCCTGAGATCCCTGGAGTGCACAAAGTCACCTGTAACGGCCCCATTCAGTAATAAATGTAGTGTTTGTTTTTTCTTTTTTTTTGGGGGGGGGAAGCGGTAAGCTATGTTACCTGTTCCATGAGTCCGGAAATGTTTTCTTTGCTTGAGCCGGAACGATGAAAACCTGATTAAATTGAGACGGCGTGTGATGGGCTTGTAAGTCTACAATGCATCGGGGGAGCCGTATTTTTTGGATGCGACTACCATCTTTGAGCACAATTGTAGGAGAGCCCACTGGAACCGGTTCAATTATAACCAATGCGACGTCTCGATCGAAGTCTTGTTTCCCCTCTTCTTACAAGGGTGAGGGACAGGGATCGGTGTGTGGACCGCTGGTGGCGTCGTATCAGGGGCGAAAGTAATGTCCAATAGACTTCCTGTCATAGTCTATAAGGGTTGGTGTGGACATGTATTAAATTGCCTGGAATTTAAAAGGTCACGTATCCATCGTTCCAGTTGGTTTTAATCGGAACAGGATCGTACTAGATATCGTTAGAATGGACATTCTGTTTGAGCATGTGTACAGGGCGTTTCCCTTTTTACCTTTCAACGATTTGAGCCGGGATTTGGGGGCGCGAAATACCTTCCTCAGACTGCCTATGTGTCTCATTATCTTACCTGGTAAATATTTGAGATATAAACATGATTTGCATTACAGCATCTATCTATCTATCTATCTATCTATCTATCTATCTATCTATCTATCTATCTATCTATGTCTGTTGATAATCTATCTACCTATCCAACTCAGTCTGTTCATAGTCTATCTACCTATCCAGCTTAATCTGTTCATAGTCTGTCTACCTATCCGAGTCTGTTCCTAATCTATCTATCTATCTATCTATCTATCTATCTTTCTATCTATCTATCTATCTATCTATCTATCTATCTATCTATCTCAGTCTGTTCATAATCTATCTATCTCGATCTGTTCATATCTATCTATGAATGTGTATTTGTGTTCCTGCATCAGTGTTAAAGACGATAGCAGTGCTCTTAACTATTTAATTGAACCGTATGAACGAGATTGTTTTGGTGTTAACATTAAGCAGACGTTGCATTGACAGCAGAATAAGATTTCATGGCACCGTATGTCTTCTAATCATTAAGGGAAAAACAATATAAAAAAAATCAACTAATGAAAAAACTCTAGGCTGTTCGTATTTCCTGGAATACAAATCACTTTATTCGGAAATGGAAGATTGCTGTGCTGGTGATTAGAAACGAAATGATTCAGGATGTCATAAAATTGATAAGTTGGACAAAAGTGGGAAAAAGAGAAGAAGAAATATAGGTCAGTGGAAGGAAAGAGAAATGAAAAATGGAGAAAGCGAAAAAATAAAACTGAAAGCGATGTGAAAAAATGGAAAGGAAGATAGTTGTGGGAATATAGAGAACAGTGCGGAGAGAGAGAAGTGGACGATGATTGGTAAAAAATGATGAGCAAAAAAAAGAATGAAGGAAAGAAAATGATGAAGAAAAAGAAAAAAAAAGGAAAGAAAGAAAATGAGCAAAAATAAAAAAAAGAAGGAAGGAAAAAAATGATGACAAAAAGAAAAAAAGGAATTAAGTAAAGGAAATGATGAACAAAAACAAGGAAGGAAAGAAAATGAGCAAAAAAAAAAAAAAGGAAGAAAAAATGATGACAAAAAAGAAAAAGGAATTAAGTAAAGGAAATGATGAACAAAAAACAAGGAAGGAAAGAAAATGAACAAAAATAAAAAAAAGAAGGAAGGAAAAAAATGATGACAAAAAGAAAAAAGGAATTAAGTAAAGGAAATGATGAACAAAAACAAGGAAGGAAAAGAAATGAGCAAAATAAAAAAAAGAAGGAAGGAAAAAATGATGACAAAAAAAAAAAAAGGAATTAAGTAAAGGAAATGATGAACAAAAACAAGGAAGGAAAGAAAATGAACAAAAATAAAAAAAAGAAGGAAGGAAAAAAATGATGACAAAAAGAAAAAAAGGAATTAAGTAAAGGAAATGATGAACAAAAACAAGGAAGGAAAGAAAATGAGCAAAAATAAAAAAAAGAAGGAAGGAAAAAAATGATGACAAAAAGAAAAAAAGGAATTAAGTAAAGGAAATGATGAACAAAAACAAGGAAGGAAAGAAAATGAACAAAAATAAAAAAAAAGAAGGAAGGAAAAAAATGATGACAAAAGAAAAAAAAGGAATTAAGTAAAGGAAATGATGAACAAAAACAAGGAAGGAAAAAAATGAACAAAAAAAAAAAAAGAAGGAAAAAAAATGATGAAAAAAAAAAAAAAAGGAATTAAGTAAAGGAAATGATGAACAAAAACAAGGAAGGAAAAGAAAATGAACAAAAAAAAAAAAAGAAGAAGGAAAAAAAATGATGACAAAAAAAAAAAGGAATTAAAAAGGAAATGATGAACAAAAACAAGGAAGGAAAGAAAATGAGCAAAAATACAAAAAAGAAGGAAGGAAAAAAATGATGACAAAAAGAAAAAAGTAATTAAGTAAAGGAAATGATGAACAAAAACAAGGAAGGAAAGAAAATGATGAACAAAAAGAAGAAAAGAAGGAAGGAAAGAAAATGATGAACAAAAAGAAAAAAGAAATTAAGTAAAGGAAATGATGAACAAAAAACAAGGAAGGAAAAAAAAAATGAGAAAAAAAAAAAAAGAAGGAAGGAAAAATGATGACAAAAAGAAAAAGGAATTAAGTATTGATGAACAAAAACAAGGAAGGAAAAAGAAAATGAAAAAATAAAAAAAAGAAGGAAGATGATGACAAAAAGAAAAAAAAAGGAAGGGAAAGAAAAAAAACAAGGAAGGAAAGAAAATGAGCAAAAATACAAAAAAGAAGGAAGAAAAAAATGATGACAAAAAAAAAAGAATTAAGATGAACAAAAAACAAGGAAGAAAAAATGATGAACAAAAAGAAGAAAAAAGGAAGGAAAGAAAATGATGAACAAAAAGAAAAAAGAAGGAATAAAAGAAAGAAAGAAAGAGAAAAGAAAGAATGAAACATACATAGATACATACATACATACATACATACATACATACATACATACAGAGAAAGAAAATAGGAAAATTCCGAAAATGAGGCACTGACAGAAATATTTTGAAGAAAAGAAAGAAAGCAGGATTATTGAGAGAGGAGAAAGAAAACAAAACAAGAAAATAGAAATGTATATCGGAATGTATATAGGATGTATATATATATGTATAAGTAGATATTTTTATAGTTTTTAATATGGTGAAAACAATAAAAATGTCATTTATATTTATAAGCAAATAAATAAACAAACTTATTTGGAAGACATTAAAAAATATGAAAACATTCTTAAGTATGGAAAAAGTATTACGCACTTAAGATTTAAAATATAATATTTTTTATCTAGAAAAAGAGAAGGTTTTTGACGAAAAAATATGCTGCTGAAATCTAATAGTGAATTGGAATAGATAAATATACCTTCTTAAATCTAAGCAAAATATTAAGAAACAGGGATATACATTATTTACATTAGCCGGACTATTGTCCTCATCGTTGTCGCCATATTTATTACAACGTTTCGGCCGTTGAACACTCCGGCTTTCTTCAGGAGGTTGGAATGTCGAACTGAACCCAACCTCCTAAAGAAGGCCGGAGCGTACAACGGCCGAAACGTTGTGATAGATATGTCAACAAAGATGAGGACAATAGTCCGAATAATGTAAATAATGTACATCATAACTCATCTCAAAAATATAGACAGATAACAAACAGGAATATATCCTTAGGAACAAGGAAGACTGTTGAATTGCTTCTTAATATCAATGACAACATGTATAGCAGTGAAGTCTAAACAGTTTCGCCCCCTAACAATTTTCCCATAATAAAATGGAGAATATAGGCCGTAGAGATATTGGTTTAAATAAGGATGTAAATAAACTGTAAATAATATTCGTGCAATAAATTATAATGCAATTTTATACATTGAGAATATTATGCTACATTGAAGACGAGCAGAGAAAAACATCGACTAACTTAACAATATTTAGTAAAGTGATGAAGTTACAAAGACCGGTATGTATAGTAAGGGAACCGCCATTGCTAAAAATTTCAGAAGTTGTGGAGAGTCATGTACTTTCATTATTTTGACATATTTGTTTCTTTTATAAATCTCAACACTGATTACTTTACAAAATTACTTGAGAAATATGTTCCGGAAGAAAAGATTCCGTGTGGTCTAGATACAAAACAACTTTATTCTTTAATTACAAATGATTTACAAATGAATTGTTTAATATATAGATAATTAATTAATTATTTAATATATAGATATAATGGCTCATGTAGTATATGCGAAAAACGACACCTTATATACTTTATATGAATTGCAAGCCTACGAAATTGGAATTTTCCTTCATGTTTATTCGGTAATTTTTGAATTAATTTCTGAAAGACTCAAGAAACGCAACATAACTGGGATAATTAATAATTTAATCAATTTGTACAAATATAGACTCTTGAAGTAAAGAACAACGTGATTCTTCTCCTAAGTGCATCCTATACGGTATGGCGCCACATCACCGATGTTATGCCAAGTTGAGCTTGGTCGGTACATAGACGGGTAACCGCTTGGGAAAACCAGGTGCTATAAGCTAGTACGTGCAATTAACGTAATGGATAATGGCTTGGAATTATTAATCGAAGAGTCGAGTTCCAATTCCCATTCGATTCGTAATTATCACTTCCGTGTAAATACCGTTAGGTAATGTATGAATCCACGTTTTGTCCCCCAGCTAGGAGTTAATTAATAAGACTTGTATCAATAAATCATTATAATCTCCTAAAAATTGTTAAATAAAAATATTTTCTGGCTTGAAATAACCTGAAATGGGTTGATCAGCCGTAAAATCACAAATCAATCAATCAGTCAATCTGGCAGTTGTTTTCTTTAAACTTCTGTATTCAACATTTGTAATTTCCATTCCTTTCTGTCAATAGATAAAAATGTCTCGTCACTTATATAATTTACAAACAAGTTTCTTAACCCGCAAGATTATTTCATTTTAATATAAATGGTATCTTTAAAGTGTACAGTTGATTGAGTTTACATCCCTGAAACATTGAAATTAATTTCAACCAGCCTAGTTACCGAGAAATCCTTACAAAATGAGAAATTTTCGTCCGCAAAGTGAGGTTAAGTATGGTTAAAAGAGAAAAGAAGTTCGAATTCTGTCGGAAGGTGCACTTTTTTTTTCGTTTCTAATGACTTCCCGATTAATTAACCTTAGTTGTTTTTTTTTTACATTCACTGTTTCAAAGAACGGAGATATCAGTGCAAACAAGTGCAACCACTAAAAATAATGTCCATCGAAATAGGAGTTAATGTGGGATTTAAAAATCCATTTATAAATCATTTCATTTACGTTTCGCGTACGAAAATAAATACAGCACATTCATATAGTGAAAAGGGTACGTACTCTTACTACATCTCCCCATTTGAGACTTTTTTCCTACAGATTTTTTTGTACTTTTTTGCTTTTGGGATGAAGAACGAACATTTCTCTTCCTTGTACTGGAGCGTGACATTTTCGAAGCTATCTGGGGCATAGGAACATCAAAAACATCACATAGATGGACTACTCCTGTCGGATGCTCTGTTCGAACGAATAGATTTTTCATATTTGATTTATATGCACCCATGTAAACCCATTTATCATTTAGAATAACTTTCCGATACGTCACTCCAAGACCCCATCTTCCCAGCATTCCTTTCCATTTTTGTAAGTTCCAAAGAATATTTTTTCGCCGCGTGTGAAGTATTTCTAGGTATCGAATCTTTTTTTTTGTCTTGAGCATTTTTTTAAGTTTTTATTCGTCAGCAGTTTGTCAAACACAGATCTAATTTTCCTTGCAAACATTAGTTCCGCTGGAGCTATACTTGATACAGTGTTAGGATTAGGTGTCACCCGATATGCACGTAAAATCTGCTGTAATAACATATTCGTCATTTCACCTTCATTATTTATTTAATACCTTGTTGAATGTATAGACGAAGCGTACTGCTTGCCCATTCGATCTTTGATGTTGTGGTGTGAAATTTTGATATATTGTGGCGAAAAGTTTTACAAAAAAAAATCAAAACTCTTTAACAGTGAATTCGAGGTGCTGTCAGGAAAAATTGTATCTGGGTTACTAAATCTAGCAAATAATTCATGCAAGATGATTATTTACATTATTTACTTTATTGGGACTATTGTCCTCATCGTTGTCGCCATATTTATTACAACGTTTCGGCCGTTGTACGCTCTGGCTTTCTTCAGGAGGCAGGAATGTCGAACTGAACCCTTTATTTCGCTCACTGGGGTAGACTGTTCTAGTTCCACGTGCCATGGTTAATGGATGTCAGTTATCAGGAAACGGTATCGTGTAGATATTTTGCGATGTCTTTGAAATTTTGCTTCCAGTGCATAATGGATATTTCATTATATTAACAACTTCATGAGTTCTTTTAGCAAATTTGGTCCGAGATATTCTTCGACTTTATCAAGTTTATGTTGTGACGGATCTTTTAAAATTTCCTTAAATATTTAATTATTCTTTAGGGTTTCATATCTATGTATATTTCTGATATGAGGTATTATGTACACTATTTACATTATTCGGACTATTGTCGTCATCTTTGTCGCCATATTTATTACAACGTTTCTGCCGTTGTACGTTCCGGCCTTCTTCATGTGGTTAGAATGTCGAAGTGAACCCTTTATTTCGCTCACTGGGATAGACTGTTCCAGTTACACGTGCCATGTCTAATGGATGTCAGTTATCAGTTATCTCCTGTTAATTTTCCTCTGAAATTTCTCCCCTGCCTTAGCCGGGTATTGAACTCACATTCTTTGGGTCCTTTCCCTGGATCTAACTAACGCCTTTATCCACTCTGACATGTGTCCTCAAAGACATGGAACCTGAAGAACGCCGAAACGTTGTAATAAATTTGGCGAAAAAGCTGAGGACATTAGTCGGAATAATGTAGATAATGTACATAATACCTCATCTCAGAAATAAAGAAAGATGATTATTGTACAAGTTTAACTCTTGCATTTTAAAAGTTCTGGCAATTTGGAAAAACTGATGACAACAAATGGGTAGTAGACACTATTTACCGGTCCTGGGAAATCGATATGTAATCTAGATCACGATGTGCTAGTCTTTAGCTAAGGGTGGAGTTTAACTGGAAGGGATTTTACTTTCAAGGTACAATCTCTGATCGCTTTTACCAATAATTCTAAGTCTAGTCCATATTCGGCTAGTAGACATAGCTGCGCATGAATGATTTAATTCTAGAGATAACTGGAAGAGCTGTATGAAATTCTTCCAACATCTTTTTCTGAAGAGGTGCAGACATTATCACTCTTTCACCATACAATAAGACCTCATTTAGATGAAAATATTGTCACCGTCAGTTTTTAAACTTAATTTTTCTCCTTCAATTTCCACTTTACTTGTTTTTTTTTTTCTCCAATTAAAGTATCCACCTGAGCTTTTATTTTAGTTCCATCCAGTGTCACTGGTAGATCTCGTACGGTATTGCAGATAACGTTCCTAATTTCATTTTCAACTCTTAGCGCTGCTGTTACTATGACTTCTAAAGTTTCACATAATTTAATCACGAGTCTAGACGTAAATTGATATGTCCCGGAATGGGATATATTTGTTCGAATTAGCTAAGTGGTTTTCGCTACTGTAACCGGGTAGGACAATCTAGCAGGTAGCCGTAATGGACTGGTCCTCGTCGTAGTGGTAGGCAATAGCCGTAGCCAATAGACGTAGACCCTGTACCTCCACATCAGTCTGTATTTATGGCTGACACCAGTCAATCATATTACTGTGAGGGGGAACCCAGTTGTATGAATATTCATTACATCATAAACCATTTGCGTGACTCAGTATTTTTGATGTCAGGAATTTCTTTTTAAAATTGTAAAACCAAAATCAAAAAAAAAAAAATCCCCTATCGATGTAGCCGGTTAGCTGTATGTGTCGGGATAGCCGTTTGTCGGAGCGCAGAATAGATAACAAT